CCAGCTCGTCCCCGCCTCCCTAACCTGTCCTTCCTCCCACCTATCCCCTCCTCCCACCTCAAGCCCCACCCCCATCTCCTACCTACTAACCTCATCCTGCCCCCTTGACCTGTCCGTCCTCCCTGGACTGACCTATCTCCTCCCTAACTCCCCACCTACACTCACCTTTACTGGCTCCATCCCCGCCTCTTTGACCTGTCTGTCTCCTCTCCACCTATCTTCTCCTCTATCCATCTTCTATCCACCTCCCCCTCTCTCCCTATTTATTTCAGAACCCCCTTCCCCTCCCCCATTTCTAAAGAAGGGTCTAGGCCTGAAACGTCAGCCTTCCTGCTCCTCTGATGCTGCTTGGCCTGCTGTGTTCATCCAGCGCTACACCTTGTTATCTCTGGTCGTTGTTGATGTTCGGTGGGGCCAGTGTTGATTGACAGGAGGTGGGACTGGCTCTCATGGAAGGGGCTTGGTGTTTCACCTTCCTTCTGGAACATAGAACAGTACAGCACAGTACAGGCCCTTCGGCCCATGATGTTGTTCCAACCTATTATCCTACTAAGATCAATCTACACTGCATACCCTACATTTTACTATCCTCCATGTGCCTATCCAAGAGTTGCTTAAAAGTCTCTAAAGTATCTGACTCCACTACCACTGCCAGCAGCGCATTCCACACACCCACCTCTCTCTGTGTGAAGAACCTACCTCTGACATCTCCCCTATACCTTCCTCCAATCACCTTAAAATTATGTCCCCTCGTAATAGTCATTTCTGCCCTGGGAAAAAGTCTCTGACTATCCACTCTATCTGTGCCTCTCATCATCTTGTAAACCTCTATCAAGTCACTCTCATCCTTCTTCGCTCCAATGAAAAAAGCCCGAGCTCCCTCAACCTTTCCTCATAAGACCTGCTCTCCAGTTCAGGCAGCATTCTTGTAAATATCCTCTGCACCCTCTCTAAACCTTCCATATCTTTCCTGTAATGAGGTGACCAGAACTGAACACAATATTCCAAGTGAGGTCTAACCAGAGTTTTATAGAGCTGCAGCATAACCTCACGGCTCTTAAACTCAATTCCTCTGTTAATGAAAGCCAACACACTATACGCCTTCTTTACAACCTTGTCAACCTGGGTCGCAACTTTGAGGGATCTATGGATGTGAACCCCAAGATCCGTCTGTTCCTCCACACTGCCGAGAATCCTGCCATTAACCCTGTATTCTGCATTCAAATCTGACTGTCCAAAATGAATCACTTCACACTTCTCTGGGTTGAATTCCATCTGCCACTTCTTTGCCCAACTTGCATCCTGTCAATGTCCTGTTGCAACCTATAACAACCCACCATGCTGTCCACAACTCCACCAATCTTCATGTCATCGGCAAACTTACTAACCCACCGTTCCACTTCCTCATCCAAGTCATTTATAAAGATCACTAAGACCAGAGGTCCCAGAACAGATCCCTGCGGAACACCACTGCTCACTGAGTTCCAGGCTGAATACTTTCCATCTACTATCACCCTCTGTCTTCTATTTGACAGCCAGTTTGGTATCCATACAGCCAAATTTCCCTGAATCCCATGCCTCCTTACTTTCTGAATGAGCCTATCATGTGGAACCTTATCGAATTCCTTGCTAAAATCCATATACACCACATCCACTGCTCTACCTTCATCGATGTGTTTTGTCACATCCTCAAAGATTTCAATAAGACTTGTGAGGCATGATCTGCCCCTCACAAAGCCATGCTGACTATTTCTAATCAAACTGTGCTTTTCCAAATAATCATAAATACTATCTGTCAGAATCCTCTCCAATAATTTGCCCACCACAGAAGTAAGACTGGCTGGTCTGTAATTTCCAGAAATATCCCTATTCCCTTTCTTGAACAAGGGAATGACATTTGCCACCCTCCAATCTTCTAGCACTACTCCAGTGGACAGTGAGGAAGCAAAGATCATTGCCAAAGGGGCAGCAATCTCTTCCCTCGCTTCCCGTAGTAACCTTGGGAATATCCCACCTGGCCCAGGGGACTTATCTATCCTCATGTTTTTCAAGATTTCTAGACATCCTCCTTCCTAACAACAACCTGTTCGAGCATATCTGCCTGTTTCACGCTGTCCTCACAAACGTCAATGTCCCTCTCACTGGTGAATACTGAAGTAAAGTATTCATTAAGGACCTCCCCTACCTCCTCTGACTCCACACACAAGTTTCCTCCACTATCCCTGATTGGCCCCACCCTCACTCTGGCCAACCTCTTGTTCCTCACATAAGTATAGAAAGCCTTGGGGTTTTCCTTGATCCAACCGACCAAGGTTTTCTCATACCCCATTCTATCTCTCCTAAGCCCATTTTTCAGTTCCTTCCTGGCTACCTTGTAGACCTCTAGAGCCCTGTCCGATCCTTGCTTCCTCAACCTTAAGTAAGCTTCCTTCTTCCTCTTGACTAGGTGTTCAACATGTCTTGACATCCAAGGTTCCTTCACCTTACCTTCATTTCCTTGCCTCAGTGAGACAAACCTATCCAGTACCTGTAGCAACTGCTCCCTAAACAACCTCCACATTTCTTTCGTGCATTTCCCTGAGAACATCTGACCCCAATTGGTACTCCTTGGTAGTTCTTGTCTAATAGCATTGTAATTCCCCCTCCCCCAATTAAATACTTTCCCATACCATCTGCTCCTATCCCTCTCCATGACTATAGTAAAAGTCAGGGAGTTGTGATCACCATCACCAAAATGCTCTCCCACCGAGAGATCTGACACCTGACCTGGTTCGTTGCCAAGTACCAAATCCAACATGGCCTCCCCTCTAGTCGGCCTATCTACATATTGAGTCAGAAATCCTTCCTGGACACACCTGATAAAATCTGCTCCATCCAAACTATTTGCACTTAGAAAGGAGTGAATCTGTGGAATCATTTACCACAGAAAGTTGTCGAGACTGGGTCATTCATTCCATTCAAGGCTGAGAGTGACAGATTTTTAATCACTAACCGAATCGAGAGTTATGGGGTAAAGGCCGGAAAGTGGAGTTGAGGATTTTCTGATCAGCCATAGTCCCAATGGCAAACACACACGCACACTTTTAGCAGCATTCAAAGCTTCTAATTCACTTAGTTTATTTTCTGATCATCTGTATGTCAGTCCTATTAACCTGCTGTGTCCTGTTGTTGGTTTGTCTCAAATAGTGCACCTTAAGACATTTCTTAATAGCACTCCCACTGTTGATTACTCAGTTAGTGCGTGTGGAACTGTTGGGAGCCAATTTGCCAGGACACAGGGGAAATTGGCAGTGAAGAAGAATGTATGTTCTTGATCTGTCATTTTAATGGTGAATAAAAGGAATTTTGCTGCGTGAAAAAGGTTTTGGGAATTTTTTTCCTCAGAACTGGCTACACATTCAGTTCCAAGCCCTATGCTCTAGCTTACTTACCTCAATTTCCTCTTCTAAGAAATTCCTGAAACATATGTCTCTGACCAAGCTTTGGGTCTTCTGAACCATCATCTTTGTAAATGACTTGGTTTGCAATCTGATTGATAATGTTCTTGTGATGAACAAAGCATGACTGTTTAAACACTTTTTTAACGTAATAAATCGCTATTTATGATGAGGAGTTCAGAAAAACTTTCAGGTCCTTGTGTGTTTCCAGTTGCTCACCCAACGTTTTTTTTTTATTCACTTGTAGGATATGGGCATCACTGGCTGGCCAGAATTTATTGTCCAATCCAAACTGCTTTTGAGAAGATAGGGATAAGCTACCTTCCTGAACCACTGCAGGCCCCCTGCTGTAGATTGATTCACGATGCCATTAGAGAGGAAATTCCAGGACTTTGACCCAATGTCATATTTTTGAGTCAGGATAGTGAGTGGAAATTGTAAAGTGTGATGTTATATGTATCTGCTGCCTTGTCCTTCTACATAGAAATTGTTGTAGGTTTGGAAGGTACTGTCTAAGGATCTTCAGTGAACGTCTGCAGTGCATCTGGTACACACTGCTGTTATCGACTGTCGGTGCAGGGAGTGGATGCAAGACCAATCAAGTGGGCTACTTTGTCCAGGATGGTTTTGAACGTCTTGAGTATTGTTGGAGCTGCACTTATCCATCACACTCCTGACTTGTGCCTTGTAGATGGTGGAGAGGCTTTGGAGTGTCAAGAGGTGAGTATGCCTAGCCTCTGGTCTGCTTGTGTAGCCACTGTGTTTATGTAGTGGGTTCAGTTGAGTTTCTGGTGGATGGTAACCACCAGGGAGCTGATAGCAGGGTAAATTCAGTGAAGGTAATATCATTGAATGTTAAGGATTGGTGGTTACTTTGTCTCATATTGGAGATTGTCATTGCCTGGCATTTCTGTGAATCACTGAATCCCTACAGTGGAGAAAGACATAACGAGTCTGCACCGACCCTCCAAAGAGCATCCCATCAGACCGAGATCTCGATCCTATTCACGTAATACCACGTTTCCCATGGCTAATCCACTTGGCGTACACATCCCTGTATGCTATGGACAATTTGCCTTGGCCAATCCACCTAATCAGCACATCTTTGGACTGTGGGAGGAAACCGGAGCACCCGGTAGAAACTCACGCAGACACGGGGAGAACGTACAATCTCCACACAGACAGTCACCTGAGGGTGGACACAAACCCGGGTCCCTGGAACTGTGAGGCAGCAGTTGCAACCACCGAGCTGCTGTGCACAAATATTACTTGCTACTTATCAGCTCAAGCCTGGATATCATTCTGATCTTGTTGTATTTGAACACAAACTGTTTCAGTGTCTGAGAAGTTGTGAATAGTGCTGAACACTGTGCAATCATCAAATGCTCATCCCCCGCTACCCCTGCCTCAACTGACAGAATGGGATTCCCACAATCACTGATCCCAGTTTTCAGCCAATTCAATTCACTCCAAGTCATATCAGGGACTTGCTACCTGTAGGCAGCAGTCCCTCTGTTCATGTAGTGACCAGCAGAGTCATTAAACATCAGACTGTAGACCCACTAGTAATCAGCTTCCCTTTAATTATAGCTTGGAGCAAAACTTTGCAAAGCACGACAGTAGTAGATGGAAATGTACATTATATTTCTAAAATATTCACAGGACAATCTATACACCAATTGGCAAAAAAAATTGCTTGGAGTAACGTCATCTTGGAAAGCAAGTTAAACACACAAGACATGATTGAAGGGGCTGTTGTGGTGCAGTCGTATTGTCTCTATCTCTGAGTTAGGAGGCCCGGGTTAAAATTCCACCTGATCCAGGGGAATGTAATAACGTCTCTGAATAGGTTGATTAGAAAATATAATTCTGCATGGTTTTTGGCCATCTAAAAAGTTAAATTTGTAAGCCATCCAGTTGCTGGCAATGCTGTAGCTCCTGGCTTTGCCCAGTAGGTGCTGCTGCAGAGGCAGTTTCCAAAGCCTCTTCCCACGTTCCCCACTGTGGGAGCACCATCAGTACAAGGGCTGCAGTGGGTCAAGTTGAGATGGACAACAAATGGGACCCTGGCAGCACTCAGACTGAGAACAACTTAATAAGTTAATTATTAAGAAGAATAAGGAAATTATTATATTTCTCATAGGATCAGTGTCAGGAATTAGAGTTAGAACTGCAAAGCTACAGATAAGCCCTGACACTGGTTTGACAATCTATAACAGTAATACTGAGATATAATAGAGATACTTATATTTTGGACAGTTTTTCTAGTAAAAGCAATATGGAACACTTCAATATGGAACTTCCTTCCTGAGCAGTGCAATCTTGGAAGGATTTGTGCAAAGTGGGAAGTGATTGTTAATCCTAATCCTGAGTTCAGGCTTTCCACCAGGAATCACTCAATCCCCATAATGCTGGGCTGATTTCCCTCTCCCTGAGCCAGGCTCAGTGCAGTGGAAACTCAGAGCTGGATAGCCCCATTCCCCAGAAGGTTTTGTTCTCCAGCCGCTCCATCCTGATGCTCAGGTGCTGTAGTCACAATGCTTTGTACTTCACTTGTACAGATCACCTCTCTCAAAGGGTCAGCATTCAGTGCTTCAGTGTGAGTCCTGCAACACTGGTCTTCAATACAGTTACTAGGAGAGAGAAATCAGCAGATTGCAAATTATATTAGAATTAAATTATATTAAATATTAAAATATTATATTAACTAATTAATCCATTCAGCCCCTCAATCTTGCACTACTATCTTTAGATATTAAGTGATATCATGATAGTCATAAAAATATGTTGTGAAGATATAAGCAGGTTGTAATTCTATATAGATGGGTTAAGCGAGCGGGCAAAAATCTGGCAGATGGAATGTAACTGGGGAAAATGTTAAGTTATTCATTTTGACAGAAAGAATGAAAAATATGGAGTAATACTTAGACAATTTGGAGGGACGTAGGCATTCTAGTGTAAGTGACAAAAAGATTGGTATAGAGACACAGCAAGTAAATAAAATTAATGGGATGCTATTCCATATCACAGGATGAATTGAACATAAAGTTAATGTTATGCTTTAGTTATGCAGGGCATTGGTGAGACCACATCTCAAATACCATGTGTAGTTTTGGTCTCCTCATTTAAGGAAGGATAGATGTAAATATATTGGAGGTGACTCAGAGGAAGTTTGGACAGTGAAAGAACTCTTCCAGTACCCCTCACAATCCCTCCTCCTCACTTCAGGAATGTAATAAGCGTAACGATCTTCAAAGCAACAGATAAATCATGGTTACAGCACTTCAACCAACTTTTCCCACGTGGGTGCCTGTACATTTCCGTGACTCCATGCTGCTTAAAATGAGGAATTGAGGTGAGATCTTAAGAGGGGTGAGAACTGGGGGGAAGTAACTCTTTTGACGCCAGCTCCACAGGCAAGACTCCTGTAAAATAATTAATGGTAGACCGGACACTGTCTGGATGGTTGAAAAGCAACTGCCCTGCCAAGTCCTGTTTTCTCAAATCTCAGCCGCATTCCAGGGGAGTATATGAAAACTCTTATAAAGACAGAAGCTCTTCTTGAAGTGTTGACAGTAATGTCTGGGGGGAGCTTGTTACGAATCAATCAAACATTCAGGATGGAGGTAACATCTTACAATCCGTGAGTCAAGATACTACCTGTAAAGTCACTTGAAGATCTATGGCAGACTCTAAATCCAGAGCGGTCATCTCCTCAGGGTGAGTGAGCAGACAATGGTGATCTCTCAGTAACATAATCTCATTCTGCTAAACACCAGTGAATACAAGCTCTACCTTACCACTGGACAATCCTCTCCACCCAGACACCAATCTTTGTGAGCATTCACTCGGCTGTCTCCAATACAGTACATACCTCCTTGAATATTCAAGGTAAAAGCTGCAGGTAACTCCAGTTGTCTGACCAAAGCCTTGTCCCAAGACTTGCTCATTTCATGTACTACCAGCCCCTTGCAATAAAAGTCAACATGCTGTTTGGTTTCCAAACTGCACAATGTGCCTGTGTGCCAACATTGTACTCCTTGTCCAGGTGAAACCAATTCTGTAAACAGCAAGATCTAGCAGTTTCTTAGCTTCTAAACGATGTCCTCCTTTTATATTCTTAACCTCATCGTCCCACATTATCGTATGCTACTTATTCCCCACTCACCTTATCTGTCTACGTCATTCTGGAGCCTCTGTGTCCTCCTCCCAGCCTGCATAGCCATGTTATACAACCCCCTGAAATTACATTTACTGTCCTGGGCACCAATGGCAGCTGGAGAATAAGTGCCAGGAGCTGCATGGTGATGGAGCACAGAGTGTAGAGGGGAGGAGGCTTATAGGGGAGGAAATGGGCAAGAGTTAGACACTCCACAGGAGCTGTGCTGACTGAGGCACCAGACAAATAGAAAAATAAGAACTCACTTCAATATTGGAGATGCTCAAAGAAAATATCATGCATTTTGTGGCTGTGTGAAACAAACAACAGAAATGCTCAGAGACTCTATCAGGCTTTACAGAACCACATCCAGGGAGGGCTTGGGTCAGATTGATCAGCAACAGGATCGGGAAGGAAGATTCCAAAGGGATGGCATTGTCTTTCAGGGCAAAATAGCACTTTGCAGCGTTATCCACAAAGTTCAAAATGTATTACTGCACACAACATCTTCACGATATAAAATGTAATGACACAAAACTAGAATTAACAATAGGAACTGTGGAACATTCTATAACTCACCGTTTTATTAAGCTTCGGGCTATGACAGCAACATAAATACCCACAAAAAAGACGGCATAAATAATTGCTGTTAGTTCACCACGAGACAGTCCAGTACCTAGAGACAGAATGAAGCCATGAACAGACTGGGACACACGAACAAAACTAACAGCAGAGACCCTCAGCACCTAGTGTTTCAGAACCAGCCCCAGTACAAACAGATCCCTGGGTAATTCCTGGAGGCATATGCACACTGCCCCACAATGAGATCGATACATGCTTTTCAATAGAGAGAACTGGACACTGACTAGCACCAGCCTTCATTCATTTAAACCCAACAGCATCTGGAATCGAGCAGGTTAACAGTGACCCACACCACTCACTCTCCCTATCATTCTTTGGTAAAATATCACACAGCATTTCAAGCCTTCCAATATTCCTTCCTGTCTGTCCAGCATGATCAAATGTAAGGGCTGAAAACACATGCAGTAGTTTTACCTGGTACAAGTGTGTTTGGTCCAGGTGTAGGAACTTGCTCTAAAGAAAACATCAAGTGTTTAGTACAGTGTGTGAAACAAACTGCAGAAATGTTCAGAGACTCTATCGGGCTTTACAGAAACACATCCAGGAAGGAAACAGGTTCGGATCAAACTGATCTGGAGGGATCAGGAACAGGATTGGGAGTGAAAATTCCAACAGGATTCCATTAACTGTGAAGGGTAGAATGGAAGTTTTCCAGAAATTCCTGAGCAGGATCATTCCCAGCAGCTCACATCCCCCTGTGGGGACAATCCTCACAGGATCCTGGGCCGACTGGGAGACACTTTCAAGCTCAGTGCACTGGGTCTTGTAAAGGCTGCTTGGGGGGTGCTGTGGGTCCCACGTCCTGTACCCCAACCTCAGAGACAGAAGGACCATGCTTCTGGGGACAAAGTGCAGGTTCTCACACCGTTAACCCCTTCCATCACCCAGTTTGGTAGCTCCGTCCTTCAGGGCTCAGCCAGCTCACTCAGTGGGATTTATTTCCGAGTGACCCTCAGGGATAGACAGGGAAGACCCACTCAGTAGATTCTGTGTCTGTGTGACCCTCAGTGCTTCCTCCAAGAGGTAGCGAACATTGTAGGGTACCCATTGATCAGCTCAGGGAGGGCAGGAGGTGAGAATCAGCAGGAGGTTTCCAGGCCCATGTTCGACCGGAGGCTGGGAGACTTCATGGGGCTCACAGTCAATGTTGAGGAATTCCAAGATCAATCCCAATTGATTGCATATCATTGTACTGCCATTTCTAGTGGGTCTACTTGGCCAGTATGACAAGGCATATCCAAGGATGGTGACAGCAAAATCTGGGACACAAGGTTGATACAACGTCACACAGTTCTCCCACCTTAGACACTGGTATTCAAATGGGCTGGATTAAAACCTGGTATCCTGATTTCTTGCCTAGGTTGCAGTGTAGTGGTTTGACACAAACTGATTCAAGTAGCCGAGTAGGTCAGAGGGCAGTTAAATATCAATCAGGTTAATGTGGGACTGGAGTCACATATGGAGCAAATCAGGCAAGAATGGCAGGTTTTCTTCCTTCAAGGGACCTGAGTGAACCACTTGGGGTTTTACAACAACCCAACAGTTTCATGGTCACTTTTGTTGGAACCAACTCTCTATTTCCAGATTTTTATTGAATAAACCAAATTTAAATTCTGGAAGTGCCATGGTGAAATTTGAACTCTCATTCTCTGGATTATTAGTCCAGGTCTCTGGATTACTAGTCCAGTAACATAACCCCTGCATTAACCTGCCTGTAAAATTCAGTGATTAAATGCAGAATACCTGACTGAGGAACTGCTTACCTGTTACTGAGAGATGGACAAAATCAGTTTGCTCCAAATTATAACCCACGGCTATTCTCTTGTAAATGTAACACTTGTATTCATCCTGGTCAGACTCCCTGAGGTCAGAGATCAGAAATGACCAGTTGCCTTGTTCCAGTTGATCTTTGAACAGATCTGTTCTGTTTCTGAACCTTGGGTGTTGGTCTGTCAAATCATCGTTCCCATCGATGAACTTCCATAAAATTTCACGCTCTGAAATGCCCCAGATTACCAGTAAATCGGAGACTGGGACTTTCCCTTTGTAGGTACAGGGCAGCACAACCTGCTCCCCAAGGAACCCTGAAACTGGGACAGGAGAGTCACCTGGAAAAGATTGAAAGTATTTATCCACAGATATAACCTCCCTGCTGGTATGTTACATCACAAGCTTCACATGGATACATGGAGATGCTGGATTTACAAGAAGCTCTGATCAGTAACTCACTGCTCCCATTTCTATGAAAAGGTTAAAAGGTCAGACATTAAGGGACTTCACCTAACAAGCATTTTGTGCTAGATATCTGTAAACACAGAGCAGCTAGACAGCACTTTGAATCACATGTTTTCTATTTTACATATGATGGGAGAACACCTCAAGACCGCCGTCAGCTCCCTTTGTACTGTACAGTTTTGATCCCTGTATAAAAGAGGGTATACTGGATAGGATAGAGGCTGTTCAAAAGAGACTCACAAAGCTGTTTCCTGGGATGAAGCGGGTGACTTATCAAGGATGGCTAAACAAGTTAGGCCTTTATCCATCAGATTTTAGAAGAATGAAGCATGATCTTAGTGGAACAAAGAAGATTCTGAGGGGGCTTGAAAGGGTGGATAATGAAAAGATGTTTCCACTAGTGGGAGAATAGGGTGCATAGATACATAACAAGGGACATTCATTAAACTGAGAGGGTCATAGAGTCATACAGTACAGAAGAGGCCCTTCAGCCCATTGAGTCTGCACTGAGTCATTTGCATTAATCTAATTTTCCAGTATTTGGCCCATAGCCTGGAGTATCATGACATTTCAAATGCTCATCAAGTAATTTTTGAAGGTTGAGAGATTTTCCACCTCAACTATCCTCCCAAGCAATGCATTCCAGGATCCCACCACCTTCTGCATGAAAACAAATTCCCTCTAAAACCTCCTGTTCTTCACCTTAAAATTATACCCCCTTGGTATTGCCCCTTTGACTAAGAGGAACAGCAGCTTCCTCCCCCTTCTGTCCATGCCCCCCAAACTTATACACCTCTATCAAGTCTCCTTCAACCTTCTCTGTCTAAAGAAAACAGTTCAAGCTTATCCAGCATCGCTTCACAGCTAAACTGCTCCATCCCAGGAAATATTTTCATGACTCTATATCATGGTGAATCTTCCCTGCACCCACTCCAGTGCAATCACATCCTTTAAGGTTTTGGAGTACATTTGTAGCTCGGGTTGTGGGTGCTGTGGTTGGTTGTCTTGCTGAGCTGGTTTATTGTTCCGCAGATGTTTCGTTACCGTGCTTGGTAACATCATCAGTGCAGCCTCCGATGAAGCATCGGTGTGTTTTCTGCCTGGTTTTTAAAAGGGTCTGTTGAGCTGGATTGCCTCACTTCCGGTTTTCCTTCGTAGTGGAGTGTATATGGGGTCGAGTTCTATGTGTTTATTGATGGCTTTCTTCGTGGAGTACCAGGTTTCTAGGAATTCCCGTGCCTGTCTCTGCTTTGCTTATCCCGGTATTTTGGTGTTGTCCCAGCTGAATTTGTCGTTCTCCTTATCCATGTGGATAGAGATGAGTGAGTATTGGTCGTGCCTTTTTGTAGCCAGTTGGTGTTGGTGTACACTTGTTGTTAGTTTCCTTCCTGTTTGTCCAATGTAGTGTTTCTCACGGTCTCTGCAGGGAATCTTATAGATGACATTGGTCCTGTCCATAGTGGGGAGTGGGTCTTTGGTTCAGGTGAGCAGTTGTTGTAGGGTTGATGTGGGTTTGTGTGCCATTCTGATGCCCAGCGGTCGTAGGAGTCTTGTGGTTAGTTCCGATGTGTTCCTGATGTCAGGTAGTGTGATGAGTGCATCGGGGTGTGTAGTATCTTTCTGATGTTGTTCGTGTAGGCATCTTCTGACCCAGTTTTTTGGATATCCATTATCTTTGAAAACCTGAAAGAGGTATTCTTCTTCCTCTCAGTGTAGTTCTGTGTTGCTGCAGTGTGTTGTTGCCCTTTTAAATAATGTTCGCATGCAGCTTCGTTTGTGTGTGTTAAGATGGTTACTGTTGAAGTTCAGTATCTGGTCCGTGTGTGTGGCATTTCTGTGTACTTTTGTTTTGAATTCCCTATTTGCCCTGCGCTCTACCATGACGTCCAGGAAAGGGAGCTGTTTGTCCTTCTCCTCCTCTCTGGTGAATTTTATTCCTGTGAGGGTGCTGTTTATTAGTTTGTGTGTCTCCTCTAGTTTGGTCCATTTAATGATGAAAAAGGTGTTGTCCA